GAATAGCAACTAACGAGCAAGTTGTTTAAACTGAAGAACTTTGATAGCATCCCGGGATACTGATAAGAAATAACCATTCACTTAAAAGAAATGTACTAACGATCCCACATAACAAAATAACAATCCCATATAACAAAATAATGAGCACCAGATACAGCCCTAAACGGATCAATCATTTTGGCTTAGACAGGACAAAGGGAAGACCTCGTGGAGACTCAAGTCCGGATGGCACCAAGCCAAATGACTGACTAACCTGAGTACGTGACAGTATCAGAAATGGGTAGAGGGTCCCTAGGAAAAGAACACTTAAGTTTGTGAGTATATCACTAAACTGCTGAGGCTCAAGAGAGAGAAGACAGAGAACAGCTGCTGCTAACTCCTTTAAACTGGTGGTATGAGTATTTCTAACTGCAAGTAACCAATGTGTTTTTAACATACTATAGTCAAGTACAATCATTCTACTATGATATAATCATTGCATTCTAGTATTACTTATTGGATCATTTACCTTTCTTTGTATTGTATGATCGATATTGCCTGTTGGGTATCAAAATAAAGCATTCAAAGGTGTGTCACGCCATATTTGGTATTGTCAAGTCTTTTGACCGAATCCGAGATTTATTTTTCCCAACACTATGAAACCAAATTCCTGAACCCACAGCCTTCTGACACAGAGGCAAGTGTGCTGCCACCCGAAGCCTTGTGTCGAGTACCCAGGCATCAGAAAATTTGTAAGCACAGTTAACAGGAAACTATTCTGATCTCCTATCCAACCTACCTTCAACACACGACAGGAAATGTGTCTGCTTCTCTTCTAACCACATTGATTTGAAACGTAGCACCAAATTATTATTTTTTTAACAAAAAAAGTTGAAAGGAATATTACTCGGAAAGGCGATCCACCATTTGACTAACAACTGGCTGCCTGCTTACTGCTAGGTAAACAGAGGCATGCGGAGTAAGGAAACTTACCTGTGGTTTCGCCCTATACCTGGGAATCAAACCCAGGTCCTACACTGGGGATAACCTCGTTGCTCTCCTCTGCACTCCTTCAAGGATCTGAGCAATTCCCTTATGCCATGGTAAACAGAAACATATTTTGAATTGCAAAGCTAAACCTGGTGTTTTTTATTGCACAAACATTGTCTAAAATGCACTCACATCTCGGTCAGAAAATCATACAAAGGGCCATAGTTACAGTTTACTGGAGAGGGAAACTGGTCCAACAGATGTTACAGAAGATTCCTCCAGCACGTCTGTTTTGTCATCCGCAAGCACATTTTCACATTCCTATGCTTTGGAGAAGCATGAGGGACAGAAAGAGAGAGTGTGTGTGCGTGAGTGCTCAGCAGACACACGGCAGACTATTGATTGAGATCTGTGAGGTTATGGGTCTAGATCTTGTAGATTATGGTCTTTACACATCCTTTTCTCAGAACCTTCTCATATGCACATTGTTGATCCTGTCGGGTTACAGTCCCCACAGTTATTCCCAGGGTAATTGTACGCTAACGGACTCCCAGTCCCCACGTGATCCCACTGCCCTCCTTTATCAGCCTGGGGCAGTTGGTTGACCTCACTTCTCTGTGAATTCAAGCTCCACACTTCATGATTGAGGGCTTGGTTGAGGAGAGAAAGATGTGGGAGGAGAAGGAGATGAGGAAGTGGTCCGAGATGGCCTTGTCCACTATGCTGAGGTCGGAAATGTCAAGGCCATGCGTGATGATAAGATCAAGTGCATGACCACGGCTGTGGGTGGGTGAATTTATATGGGGGGTAAGGTTTAGGGAGGAGAGGAGGGCAGTGAAATCGGCAGAAGTGGTGCAAGGGGAGTTTCGGTGGAGGTTGAAATCGCCCATTATGAGTAGGCGCTCGGAGCAGAGGGACAGGGAAGAGAGGAGAGTAGAGATGTCTGTGTGGAAGGAGCCGGGGGGCTTAGTGGGGGCGGTAGACAAGGAGGATTTTCAATGGGAGAGAGGGGTGGAAGAGGGTGAGGTGCTCGAAGGAGGGGAAGCAGCCGGAAGAGTAGGGAATAAGACCAAGGGAGGCTTTGGAAATGAAGGCCACCACGTTGGTTTGGACGGGGTGTGTGGTGGAAGGTGTAGCCTGGAGGGGAGGCTTCCACTAGGGGGACGGGATCATTGGGGGAGAGCCAGGTTTCGGTGAGCCCAAGAATGTCAAGGTGCTCATCCAGGATGAGGTCATGGATGGTGAGGGCTTTATTTGAGAGGGAACGGACATTTTGGAGGGAAATGCGGGTGGGTTTGCTGGAGGGAGGGGAGGGAGGAGAGAGTGGTGCGGAGAGGATTTTGGGTTGTACAGGAGAGATGGTTGTGGAGTTTGGTGTGAGTGGAGAGATGGGGAGGGTACATATGAGGGAGGGGGGAAGTTGGGTTTGCCTTAAGGAGGCGGTTTGAGCGGAGGGAGGGAGTGATGGGACACGTGGGGTTGCTGCTCTGGGACAGCCAGTGCCGGGAGCCACGATGAGCCCAGCGGAGGATGCCCAGGCTGGAGCAGAGGGAAGTGGTGATGGGGTCGAGGAGAGAGAGAAGGCGGGGAGGAAGGTGGGAGGGAAGGACAGAGGGGGAGTAGCAGATAGAGGGGGGTGGGAGGACAGACATAGAGGGGGGTGGGAGGAGAGACATTTGGAGTGGAGGGGAGGGGGAGGCTCGGGTCGAGGCGCAGCCAAAAAGCGCACGCAGAGACCGGGAGCGAGCGATCAGCGAGATGGCATCAGCCCTCAGGCTCAGCCTCCCAGGTCATGGCCAGGATGGCAGTGCCGGGGCCAGGACATCGTTGTTGTTGTTGTTGTCGCTGTTTTTTTTGAGCTGTGGCTTCACGCCGACGTCACTTTGTGAATCGCGCCCCGCCCCGCGCTCTCCTACCTCCCCTCCTGACTGCGTGCCTCCTCTCCTGGCTGTACATTATACGCAGTTGGGCCTCGGCTCCGCCCCGCGCTCTCCTGACTCCGCTCCCAACTCCGCTCCGCTCCCGACATCGCAAGAGGTGCTGTCCTTCAATGAGACAGCGATATCAATGGCAAAGCTGTATAGTTTGTGGGCAAAACTTATTAGTTGACCGACCACCACAGAAACCTGTAGCTCAGTGGTTAGAGCACTCGCCTCACAAGCAAGAGACCTGGGCTGGATTCCTGGGCGGGGAAACATTGGGCAAGTTTCTTTAATCCACACGCCTCTGGTTACCAACAGTAAGTAGGAACTCGGTTGTTAGTCGATTGGCGGATCACTTTTCTGGGTGTAATAATTCCTTCCAAAAATAATAATTATAATAAATTGATTACTCAAGCCACGACTGGTTGTGGGACACTGCTGTGTGCCTTTGGCTGCTGCGTTTCACCTACAAAGTAAACAATCAAGATATGACGCTCTGTGAGGCGCTTTGAGATGCCTTGAAGATGTGATAAAGCGTTATATCAAATACAAGGGTTATTATTATTACCACCACTGAGCTACAGGACTCCAAAGACGCTATTCTAATCTAAATTGTATTTAACTGTACAAAATTTGTCATTTATGTAATGGCTGTTTGTGGGACGTTGCCTGCTGTGTGCAAAATTGGCTGCTGCATTCGCCTACTGTCATTATAGATTTGGAGCAAATCCTGCAAAGTGTTTTGAGACATCCTCCTGATGTGAACGGCGCTGTATGAACTGTAAGGATTATTATTATTATTTATTGGCTTGTTCAGGACATTTGTACACAATATATACAGAGTAGAGAGAGAGCGAAGGGAAGAATAATTACTATTATTCTATGTAATATTAGTAATAATAATCCTTGCATTTGATATAGCGCCTTATCGTGTCTTCGAGACATCGGAAAGTGAAATAACAACAACAACTTGCACTTATACAGTGCCCTTCATGCAGGGTAGCATCCTGGAGCACTTAACGGTGGCGGAGTCTGACACTAAGCCGGGGGAGAGGGGGGTGGGAAGGAGACTGTAAACATGATCAAAAAGGAAGGTCATTAGGCGGGATTTGAAGGTCGGGGTGGGGGAGTGGCGAGACGGAGGGATTGAGGGAGAGAGTTCCAGTGTTTCGGGGGTGTAGTGGCTGAAGGCACGAAGGACAAACGAAAACCGGAGGCTGCGGCCAGAGAGCAGAAGCAGTGGGTGGTGGAGTGGGGGGAGAGCAGCTTCGCAGAAGATATCGTAAAGTGACTTGACTGTATATTTTGTGGGAGAAATGTATATTGATTGCAGTGTTGCACTTTTACATCAAACTGACGTGATCCCAAAGTGTTTTTCCCAGCTCTAAAGATTACCGCCACAGAATGATCATATTAACGAGCCCAAAGTTCAATGTCTTTCATTTTCCACATAGATAGGCATCAAGCTGAGCTCAACAATAACTAACAGGTATTTGCAAAATCGTGTTATCTCAGTGTCCCCTTCCCCTCCTCTCCCTTCTCCCTCCCTGACCCCAGCTCGGGTCTGAAATGCTGTACACTGTCCAGCACCTTGGGACGTCCTCCCGACGTGAAAGACGCCCTACAAATGTATTCTTGTTATTGTTGTTGTTGATCGCAAGAGATTGCTTTCAAATTACAATCCTCTTTTGAAGCCAATTGTTGACCTCCCTTAACATTCCCCTCACATACTCTAATCCCCCAAAAATAATAAATTGGTCACTTCAATCCACGACCGTTTGTGGGAGACGCTGCTGTGCGCAATGGGCTGCCGCGTTTCGCCCACAAACATACAGTCAATTCACTTTACAGTACATTCTGTGAAGCGCTTTGAGACGTCGAGAAGACATGAAAAGCGCTATATCAAATGCAAGGATTATTATTATTATATTGTTATTATTCCCTCCTCTCCCTTATTAGCCTTTACATTGATTTACATAGATGTATCCTCTAAATTGATCAGTTCAGATGGCTACAAGCCCTCTTGTATGCCCAGGCTTCAACCTTGAAAGCAAAGCATGCAACATTCAAACATTAACATATTGCGAAAGTCTTGTGTGTTGTTAGAATGAGGAAAAGTGGTGCCCCACTAACCAAATACATTGAGGTAGGAAGTCAACAGTAAAGCATCTGTGAATTTATCGTTGTATTGCGGCCTCAAGTATAGGAATTACTTATTATTGGTGAGTAACATTGTATTTCTGATTTCCTCCCGTTTTTTAACTGTGACGACAGACATCACATAATATCGTACAGCCAGATATTTGCTTTTAACTGCCTGACACTAGTTTCTTTGTTCTATAGTGGAGTCCTGTAGCTCAGTGGTTAGAGCACTCGCTTTGCAAGTGAGAGACCTGAGTTCAATTCCAGGCAGAGGGCGAAATCTTGGGCAAGTTTCCTTACTCCACACAGAGCCTAATAATAATCCCTCCAAAACCAAAAACAATAATAAATTGGTCATTTTTAATCTACGACTGTTTGTGGGACATTGCTGTGCGCAATTGGCTGCCGCGTTCGCCCACAAATATACAGTCAATTCACTTTACAGTGTGTTCTGTGAAGCGCTTTGGGACGTCCTCCTGACGTGAAAAGCGCTATATCAAATGCAAGGATTATTATTATTATTATAACGACAGATGTAACAACACTAAATAAGCATAAGCCTTTTAGAGCGCACTATCTCCCCTGTGAAACGTCTAAGAGTTTCGCAGGATTTTTTCTGCGAATGTAGTAACTGTGTATTTGTAGGCAAACGTGACAGTCGATATCTATGCAGCAATGTCCCACAGACACGTGAAGTGAATCATTGATTATATCAGAGGGATCGATGGCCAGGACACTGGGGGAAGCTCCATTCTCTTTTTGACTAATAATAATCCTTGTATTTGATGTATCGCTTTTCATGTAAGAACGATGTCTCAAAGCACTTTATAATAATAATCCTCGCATTTGATATAGCGCCTTATCACATCTTCTAGACGCTCAAAGCGCTTCACGGAATATACTGTGAAGTGAATTGACTGTATGTTTTGTGGGCGAAATGTGACAGGCAATTGCACACAGCAGCGTCCCCACAAACACTGAGTGACCACATTTTTTATTTTTTTACTTTATTATTTCTTTGAAGGATTTGTTACCCCAGAAAAGCACATCCCAAAAAGCAAAATTCCACATCCCAACAAATCTGTGTGAAAGTACTGTTTGGAAGCTCATTTTAGGAGCTCACTCTTTGCGTTATATGTCTGTCTGTTCACCTTCATTGTTCCAAGATAACACATTTCCATATTCTAATGACTCTGTGAAGAAATAAAAGCCATCCTACTTTGGTATTTCACAGAGCTGATTGCTCTCCTTTGGTGCTATTGACATGTGAGTTTGCTTTGAGTGATTTTATTCAAGTTACATTCAATTGGGATAAATTACAAGACAATAATAATAATAATCCTTACATTTGATATAGCGCCTTATCACATCATTGAGACGTCTCATTCTTTTATTAAAACAAGGAAGAAACTTGTACAGAGTAGCGTCCCGGGGTAATCCCTTCCAAAAAATAATAATAATAATAATAATTTGGTCACTTAATCCACGAGTTTATGGGACGCTGCTGTGCACAATTGGCTGCCGCGTTTTGCGCACAAAATATACAGTCAATTCAATTTACAGTATATCCTGTGAAGCAATTTGAGACATTTTGAAGGTGTGATGAGGTGCTATATCAAATGCAAGGATTACAGGCGGTGACAAGGGAGGGAACGAGGGATTTGCCATTAACTTGCAACACTAATAGGAGTGGGAATCACTGCCCTTGGGGTCTGCCCTCCAGGTCCTGCCAATGAGCCAAACTGCCTGGCTCAGTTGGGTACACACTTGTCTCGGAGTCAGAAGGTTGTTGGATTCAATCTCCATGTCGCACGTTGGGAATTTGAGCTCAATTATAAATTAAATCCAATCAGTCTAGGCTGGCACTGAACCATGCGTTTGTCACCTGCTGCCTTGTACGGCTATTTTTGGGTGTTTCCCGAAAAGTTTTTGCTCATCTCCCTTTCCACAGATTTGGCTCTCTGAGACGCTATCCTCCATGAAGGGTGCAATATTAATGCCCGAGTTATTATTATTGGGAAGTGCCCTGCGAAGTGAGGCGGGTAGAGACGGAGTTCATTGTGGGTTTCAAGAGGGAAGTAGACAGATATATTAAGGATAGAGGTTTGAAGGGATTTGGGGACAGGGCAGGGCAGTTTGATTGAATTGACAGCTCGCTCTGAGATATACTGCAGACTTTTGTGAATTTCTGATTCTATTGTATGGTTCTACTTAGCAAAGATCTCAAATTCTGCATGAACAGTAATATTTTTTGTTTGTCAGCCCGGTACCTGAAAAACACAGAAATCATTTGATGTGCTTAAGAGAATCCAAGCTAGAGTTACAGGTCCACATGCATGGAACGTGTGACACCTAGACATAGGTATTACTCTGTGTCTGGAAGGAAATGCGTATCCTCATTCTGGTAGAGGATTACACTCTACTTATCTACTTACCCAACTGTCCAGCGCCTTGGGACGTCCTCCCGACGTGAAAGGCGCTCTATAAATGAAATCTTATTGTTGTTGTTGTTGTAATTCTGGATCTAGTGGAGCCCAGCAGCGTAGTAGAGCACTCGCCTCGCCTTTGATTCTCGGGCAAGGCAAAACATTGGGCAAGTTTCCTTACTCCACACTCCTGTTTACCCAGCAGTAAATAGGAACCCGGTTGTTAGTCGATTGGTGGTAATAATCCCTCCAAAAAAAATAATAATAATTTGGTCACTCAAGCCACGGCTGTTTGTGGGGACGCTGCTGTGAGCAATTGGCTGCCGCGTTTCGCCCACAAAACACACAAGTCAATTCACTTCACAGTATATTCTGTGAAGCGCTTTGAGCCGTCTAGAAGACGTGATTAAGGCGCTGTATCAAATGCAATTATTATTATTATTAGGTCCAGTTTGGCAAGAGGCAAAGGTTGGGGTTGAGGTAACGACTGGAGTTTAACCGGCTAAAGTTGCACAGCTTGTTATTAATGATTAATATTCCTTCTGTTCGGACGAGAAGTTAAACCGAGGTCCCGTCTGCCTGTCCGGGTGCCATTAAGAATCCTCCGGCACCATTCGAGAAGCGAAGCGAGTTTCTCCCCGCGTGTGAGAGCTGACAATCCCCCGGATAAAATTGGGGTCGTTCACCTCCTGGTGACGTCGCTGAGCCCGATGGCTGCCGTGTTTCGGCCACAAAATTATTATTTCGGCCTCACAATATTATTATTATTATTATAAAATAGTCACACACCACCGCTTCACAGCAAAACCCTTTGCGATGTCTCGGCCACATGATAAGGCGCTGTATCAAAAGCAGGGATTACCATTTTTATTACAATAATAGTCCTCGAGTTCAATACAGCGCCGTATCACATCGTCTTCACGGAATATACCGTAAAGGGAATCGACTGAATATTTTGTGGGCGAACGCGGCAGCGAATTGTGAACAGCAGTGTCTGTCCCACAAACAGCCGTGGACTTGAAGTGACAAAATTATTTTATTTTGAACAGATTATTACACCCGGAAAGCGATCCGGCAATCGACCAACAACCTACAGCATTGTGTGGAGTAAGGAAACCTCCCCGGTGGGGAACGGACCCCCGGGCCCTCTCGCTCTCACCGCTGAGCTACGGGGCTCCGCACGTGGCACCGCTGCACTTGATGCTGAATCGTTCACGTCTCGGAGCACTGACCGGCCCCCCCGCCCTGGCCCCCCCGCCCCAGCCCCCCGCCCGGCCCCCCGCCCCGGACCCCCCGCCCCGGCTCCCCGCCCCCCCGGGCCCCCCGCCCTGGCCCCCCGCCCCGGCTCCCCGCCCCCCCGGGCCCCCAGCCTGGCCCCCCGGCCTCCGCCCCGGCTCCCCGGCCCCCGGCCCCGCCCTGTGCAGCTCATTGCCAAGTGGTGTGCAGGGCAATTAGGAATCATGGTCATCTTGTCAAGGAATGATGGACATATACACCCGCCCCAGCCTGGCAATTAGGAATCATGGTCATCTTGTCAAGGAATGATGGACATATACACCCGCCCCTGGGCCCCGCCCCCACCAGCCCCACCCCGCCCCCATCCCCGCCAACCCGCCTCACTGCGGCCCACAGGCAGGGAGGCCAGGCTGAACAGCACAATCTTGGGCTAGTTTGGGCTAGTTTTGGGTCAGTTTGGGTTAGTTTGGGCTAGTTTGGGTTAGTTTGGGTTAGTTTGGGCTAGTTTTGGCTAGTTTGGCCTAGTTTGGGCTAGTTTGGCCTAGTTTGGGCTAGTTTGGGCTAGTTTGGCCTAGTTTGGGCTAGTTTGGCTCAGTTTGGGCTAGTTTGGTTCAGTTTGGGCTAGTTTGGTTCAGTTTGGGCTAGTTTGGGCTAGTGTTGGGCTAGTTTGGGCTAGTTGTGGGCTAGTTTGGGCTAGTTTTGCGTTAGTTTGGGCTACGTACGGGGTTTTGAGAGCTGGCAGTTGGCGCGTGCGCAGTGTGTCGGACGACAACGGCCATGTGTTCCCGCCTCCGACGGTCAGAGCTTCACACAGAGTTGTGTACAACCGATAAAGCTGTGATGCAGGAGCCGGAGGGTGAGGGGTAATTGAGGGGGGAACCGTGAGGGGGGAACTGAGGGGGTAACTGGTGAGGGGTAACTGAGGGGTGAGGGGGTAACAGGTGAAGGGGTAACTGAGGGGTGAGGGGGTAACTGAGGGGGTAACTGAGGGGTGAGGGGGTAACTGAGGGGTGAGGGGGTAACGGGGCGGTGGGGGCGGCTGAGAGCTGAGAGGTTTGGGTTTGTTGTGGTGTCGCCCCTCTATTTCAGCTGTAAAGCGCTGTGTAATTGTGCACAATTTTCCTGTTTCATTTGCGTAGTGCAGTGCTGTGTCTGTGCGCCGTTCCCCTGAGCGCTGCGCCACAGCGAGGAATGTCCTTTGGCCCTTTTGATCTTACTCTCCCTCCAACAACATCAAACTGTCTCTCAACTGATTCCCAGTGTCCCGGGTCTTGTTCGGGGTCTATTTTCTCAATCCTGGTTTCCATAATAATCCTCGCGTTTAATGCAGCGCCTTATGTTGTCGAGAGACGCCCCCAAAGCGCTTCGCGGAATGTACCGCGAAGTGAATCGACGGCGCTTCGTGGGCGAACGTTCAGAATCTTTCACACCTGATGTCAGGTCCCCTCAGAAAAACACCGCAACCAAATTACATGTGCGGAGCACCTTTCACATTGGGGGGGGGTTTGTCCCCGAAGCGCCGGATAGTCGAGGATTGCCATCCGAGCCGCGGGGTTGGGATCAGGAGGGGCGAAGGGCGGAGCGGGTGGAGGTTCGGAGGGTAACTGAGGGGGTAACAGAGGAGTGAGGACTCGGTTGAGAAGAGAATAATAATAATAATAATCCTTGCATTTGATATAGCGCTTTTCACGTCGGGAGGACGTCCCAAAGCGCTTCACAGAACACACTGTAAAGTGAATTGACTGTATATTTGTGGGCGAACGCGGCCGCCAATTGCGCACAGCAATGTCCCACAAACAGTCGTGGATTGAAAATGACCAATTTATTATTGTTTTGGTTTTGGAGGGATTATTATTAGGCTCTGTGTGGAGTAAGGAAACTTGCCCAAGGTTTGGCCCTCTGCCTGGAATTGAACTCAGGTCTCTCACTTGCAAAGTGAATGCTCTAACCACTGAGCTACAGGACTCCAAAGAAGTCTCCTTCCAAGACTGAAAAGCCCTAACGTGTCTGGAGTGTTGCTCGTAGTTCATTCCTCTTAACAGCGAGGAACCATCCTTGTTGCTCTCCCGTAAATTTGCTGAATATTTTAGGTGTCTCTGAAACGTCTCCCTCGTTAGCCCACAGAATACAAACACCGGCCACCCTCCAGCTCACCACGATGCTGAATCCAGTCATGTCCAAGCTGGTCGGGAAACGTGTGGTGCTGGCCAGTGCTTCACCGCGGAGGAGAGAAATCCTGAACAATGTTGTAAGTGCATAAAAGTGCTTTGTGGGGAGAAATAGCCGGAAAGTAATTGGTAACGAGAAGACAGGATGGGTAAATGAGTAACAAACGGCACGGACAGGAAGGGCAAAGTGGCCTCCTTTGCTGTTAACTCTCCGAGACGCTGCACCGAACGAAGGGCATGATATAAATGCAAGTTGTTGTAAATTTCTTTGTTTCCGTTACTGCAATCGGTTTTGTTGAGCCAGTTTTACGTTATTTATTTATAGATATTTAATATTTATGCTATGGTTTACTTTGCTCCTGACCGCAGATGTTGCGCCTTGAAATATTCAATTTGCTTACTTGCGAGGTTCAGACGGATTTCATAGAATCATAGAATTATACAGCACAGAAGGAGGCCATTCGGCCCATCGTGTCTGTGCCGCCTCTTTGAAAAGACCTATCCACATCAATCCCACTCCCCCGCGCTCTCCCCATACCCCTGCAATCTTGTCGTACTCAAATAATTATCTACTCCTCTCTTAAAAGTTGTTATGGAATCGGCTTCCACCGGCCTTTCAGGCAATGCATTCCAGATCCGAACAATTCGCTGCGTGAAAAAAATCCTCCTCACCTCTGTTTCTTTTAACTATTTTAAATCGGTGCCGTCGGGTTACCGACCCACCCGCCAGTGGGAATAGTGTCTCCTTGTTCATCCTATTGAATCCCCTCATAATTTTGAAAACTTCTATTAAGTCTCCTCTTAACCTTCTCTGCCCCAAGGAGGACAATCCTCGCTTCTCTGCCTCTCCTGATAACTGAAGTCCCTCATTCCTGGTACCATTCTGGTCAATCTCCTTTACACCCTCTCCAATGCCTTGACATCCTTCCTAAAGTGTGGGGCCCAGAACTGAACACAGTCTCTCGCTGAGGCCTCACCAGTGTTTTATATAAAGGTTCATCATAACTTCCTGACTTGTGTATTCTATGCCCTATTTATAAAGCCAAGTATCCCAAATGCTTTTTTCACAGCTTTATCTCCCTGTCCTGCCACCTTCAAAGATTTACTTAACTGAACCCCCAGGTCTCTCAGCTTATATTACCTCTCCTCATTTTTCCTCCGAAAATGCATCACTTCGCATTTCTCCACATTAAACTTCATCTGCCACGTGTCTGCCAATTTTACCAGTCTGTCTATGTCCATTTGCAGTCTGTTACTATCCTCCTCACTGTTTACTACTTTTCCTCGCTTAGTATCATCTGCAAACTTGTACCCAAGTTCAGCTCATTCATATAAATCAAAAACAGTTATACCGACCCCTGGGTGATACCACTGCACACAAAAACAACTGTTCACCACCACTCTCTGCATTCTGTCTCCCAGTCAGTTCTGTATCCGCTGCCACTGTCCCTGTAATACCGTGGGCTTCTATTTTGCTTACAAATCTCTTATGTGCTACTTTATCAAAAACCTTTTGAAAATCCATATAAACTACATCGACTGCACTACCTTCATCCACCCTCTCCGTTACTGCATCAAAAATGAAGTAGCATCTAAATTTTTAGAATGACATAATTTAATTGGAGTAAAATTAACTTAAATACTTAATCGATATCAAATATTTAAACATATTCACTCACTTCACATCATCCTGAATCCTCTAAAGAATTCCCTCAGCATCCCAGGCTCTCCAGCTCCAACGCCTCCCAGATTGGATGCCCAGCTACAACAAGATTCAACAACAACAACAACAAGATTCCATTTATAAAGCGCCTTTCACGTCAGGAGGACGTCCCAAGGCGCTGCACAGTTGGGTCATGACCCGAGCAGGGAGGAAATGGTCAGGGTGAGGGGAGGGAAGGGAGGGAGGGAGCGAGGAGGGGGAAGAGAGTCGACTAGCAGGGTGAAGCACTTTCAAATGTCCTCCCAACATGAAATGCACTGTATCAATACAAATTGTATTATAAATGTATTGTGCTGTTTCAAAGAAGAGAGAAGGCGCTATAATCAAATGCATTTTATTATCTAATAATCTCCCTACAAAAACGAAATTAATAGAAACTTAATTATCTGTATTAGTTTGTACATTCAGCTGTATTTCAGTTAGTTAACCAACAGCAGGAACCAAATTTTCTGAAGTGCACAGCAAAGAATCAATGTCCTCCTGTGCAGTAATTTTATTATTCTATAATGTCAGGAGCTGAATTGGTTTGTAAGCAAACATGTTAGTGACAGAAGTGAAATTCTACATTTCAAGAATTTTGATATAAAGTTGGATATAAGATGCTCAAATTTTTCTAATTTTTGCAGGGACTTAGATTTGAAATCGTCCCCTCCTGGTTTAAGGAGACACTTGACAAGTCTGCTTTTGAAATGCCTTATGAATACGCAAAAGAAACTGCAAAGGAGAAGGCACTGGAAGTGGCAAAGAGAATGCATTTGGTAAGCAATAAATACATTTGGAACCAAAAGTCCGATTAGCTACTAGGTTTACTGGATTTTGTTTTGGTCAGCTGGTTGTCAGATACATGTGTAAACCCATCACCGTTGCTTAAGAGTATCCAAACCAAAGTGAGAATTCCATGCATCCCGCCTACACATGAAAACCCAGAGATAGACTGTTGGAATAGAATACTCACTCCATCCCTGAAAGGACGTATCCTGCCCTACCTAATTCCGGAAAGTGTTAGGTGTAGGTTGGCACGAGCCAAGGCTTGGGAGACTCCTGAGTGTGTGTTGGGGCAACTGCTAAAACCACATACCTTGCCTTTGGTGTTTCTGTCTGGCAAGCTTTCCTGCTGCAGTGGCGATATGATCACATTGTGGAAAACTTGTACGCTGGGAAATGATGATAAGAATTTTGCTTGTATCAATGGTGGATTTTACCTGCTCCATTTCCTTCTCTTTGTCCCCCAACGTCTTACAGGCCTTTTTGGTGTCCCGTAGGAAAGCAATCACATTACAAAAGACCTAGCATGATTTCAGTAGAGGTGGTCAATGCTGTAAAGACACTTTAGAGCAAAAGTGGTGATGAAGTCTAAAATAAGAAAGGTGAAAGATGTGCATTAGGACAGGAAAACAATCCCAACGATAATGTGTTTTTGAAAGAAGGTTAGAAATAAAGTAAGTTTAGTGGAAATGTGCAGGATGTGCCGTCTGTCAGGATTTAAGAAATAGCTTCAACTCCTGTAACGGGCATTGGGATCAGGAAGGAGAATAAGGGTATTTGTCAAAGGATGGTCAAAGATTTTTTTAACAGAGTTTTGATGACGCGCAGAGAAGAATTAATATAACAGGATTTTGGGGATAGTGTTTCAGTGACCAGAAAATATTTTTATGTTTGCACATGATATAATGTCGTGGAATAAAACCATAGACCACACAAACAATGAACAGTAATCAGTACAGGCTTTATTACGAGCTTTATTACAAGCTATTGGTAAGGGGAAGCACCCAATCAGGTTCCCAAGTCACCCGAGATGGGACTTCCAAAGAATGTATAAAAACAAAGGGTTATATTCTTTTTCTTATCAGATTATGTGGCATTTTACAACCAATGATTATTTCTTATCATGACCCGTGACAATTCTGCAGCGTTTTCACATCCAATCATAGCAATTAACAGTTTTTCTTTGTTTGCTATAATTTCACACACTCATATCAGAGTCGTGTGATCTTACCTGACCCTGAAGAGTGGAACCATCTGGTTTTAAGCATTCTCATCTCTTCTAGTCTGGGAAACAGTTGGAATGTCTGAGGCTTTGTGTAAAGACCTTGAGTAAGACCGCTGTATAAGGCTATGTGGCAACACTGTGTACGTTCTTCAATTATCTTATCACGTGAACCAACCGGGCACGTCGTCAGGGTCATATAACCTTTGTAGGCTGATGGTACATTTAGTGTCACCTTCCACGATAGAACAGGGCCCCTCTTGCCCCCCCCCACCCCGAACATTTGCACAAGTCTAGGTAATGCCTTGATTTATGGCATAAATCAAGAAATATTCAATCAAGAGAATGTATTTTGTTCGCCACTCATAACGATTAAACCATAAAAGGTTGGCTTCCACAGATATAGAGCCTGTGATGTTGGGATGATGTCACCCAAGCATTTGCCATTTTTACTGTGAAGCGCAGTTATTGTATTTGGTTTACAAATGCGGCAGCCAACTTGTCGCCAGCAATGTCCCACAAACAGCCATAAAGTTTGGGGGATTGTTGGGACACGAAACTCCCTTCTCTTTCTCTAGTAGCACGGGATCTTTAACATCCACCTGAACAGCGAGCTGAAACCTCCATTTAACATCTCCTCTGAAGGATGGCTGACAATGCAGCGCTTCCCCAACACTATATCAAAGTGTCACCCTCAGCTGTGAGAACAAAGTCTTGATGTGGGGTTTAGTATATTGGCTGATGGCTTGGTTATCAACAACAACAAGATTCCATTTATAGAGCACCTTTCACGTCGGGAGGACGTCCCAAGGCGCTGTACAGTTGGGTCGGGACCTGAGCAGGGGGGAAATGGTCAGGGTGAGGGGAGGGAAGGGAGGGAGCGAGGAGGGGGTAGAGAGTCGAGAGGGGAGCTGAAGGCTCGGTCAAAGAGAAAGGTCTTGAGACCGTCCTTGAAGGAGGAAAGGGAGGAAGCGGCGAAGGCACTGGGGGATGGAGTTCCAGAGCCTCGGGGCTGAGAGGCTGAAGGCCGACCACCGATGGTAGGGCGGTTGGGGCGGGGGATGTGGAGCAGACCGGAGCCAGAGGAACGGAGGGTACGGGCAGGTAGTAGGGGATAGTAGGTCGGAGAGGTAGGAGGGAGCGAGGCCGTGAATGGCCTTGTAGGTGAGGATGAGGATCTTGAAATCAATCCTCTGGGGGATGGGGAGCCAGTGGAGGCGAGCGAGGGTGGGAGTGATGTGGTCCCGAAGCCTGGTGCGGGACAGTACAGTACAGTATCAGTGGTGGAACAGAGAGAGCGAGTAACAATCAGTAAATTATTCACGGGAGTGAAGCGCACAGGGAGACATTAGGGCTGGAGGAGAGGGACAGAGGGAGGGATGAGCCATGAAGGGATTCAAAGGTCAGATTTAAAGCTTCAACTGTTTGCAATGACCTCTGCCACCTTCTCTGCCTTTGTATAAAAATCTTTTGTCTTCTAACAGAAACACCTCAAGACACCAGATATTGTCATCGGAGCAGACACTGTTGTGGTGAGCGAAACGAGTAGACTTTAATTCACCTCAGTTTTAGTTCTTTTCTCCGCTCAAATTATTTGTATGATTGCTGTATGCCTTCCTAGTATACTGTGTCATGTTTCTTGTCAGAAGTTGTAATACTGTGTATAGCAGATTAATCGGTGTTGTGATTGGAAGTTTTCAGAAGATTCAGGAGGGAAGTTAGTTGAGTAAAATTGCAGGTGGGTATTGACAAATGAAAGACACAGTAATAATAAGTATTAACATGCTGTAGTGACTGGCACCAGTTGTTGTAAACTTTATTTCATCTGTTATTTTTCACTATATAATCAATATCTGTATGATGACAAGTACTTAAAATACTTTCTCCTAGTTATATTTTTATTTTGGGCACAGCTAACTTCTAAATTGTGTTAATGTGGACATTTTAAAGGAAGTGCATGCTTTATTCCCTTTCTTAGTTAAAAAAGCACGTAAACTTGTTTGCATATTTATCCTGATTGGTTATCTACTGGCAATATTTTTTTGTCCGCTTCTTAATAAATCGTGTTTTATTAACAACATCATGGCGATGCGATGCTGTGCTTGATAGACAAGTTTAACTATTTGAATAATATAAAACAAATATTGATTCCAAAATGGTGGCTTTGGCATGGAGACGTGGAGTGATCATGTGGAGAAAACAACAGTGCAGACTTTATGGGATGAATGGCCTGTTTCTATGTTTTTGTCGCAAATAATTTGTAAGGAATGGTCTGGACAATAAATACTGAAAATATAATGACTTTAAGTAGTTTTGAGAGAATGTCTGGATACTAAGTATGCTTCGTAGATTGTCTTTTACTATGTAAAAACATTTTTCCCCTCTTTAGTCAATTGACAATGACATTCTTGAGAAGCCTATAGACAAGAAAGATGCATACCGTATGTTATCCAGGTTGGTTTCTGCACTTTGTTTGTTGCTCAAATGTTTTATCTTAGGAACATTTAATTTCAAACCAGTATTAATGTTGCTGACTCCCATGTTTGGTACAATATAGGCAATGAGACATTAGGGGAAGGGTATCAGCTCTAGTGAGGCAGCAATACAGAAACGATGGGCCAAAGGACTTCCTTCTGGGCTGTAAACTTTATATAGTTCTTGGTATATGATGACAGGCCCAGTTACAGTTTGACTACCTTTCATCGCTCGTCTGAAAACCACGCTCAGAGTAATGCTATGCCTTAAAATCCTGTGCTCATATCATTTTAAACTATTCTAAACTTTTGAGATTATAAACTATAGACAGCTTTTTGGTTGTAGGTTTAACATCTTTGGCACTTTGAACTCAAAGTCTGGACTGACACTCCATGCAATACTAGAAGTTAAGCCAAGGTCTTGTCACCCTAGTGAGGTGAATGTTAAACATCCCAAATTTTCTATTTAAAAAGAGCAGGGAGTATCACCCAATATGTTTGATAATAATCTGGATGAATTCAACCTGTTTTAATTGATAGCATTCTCACCTTTGGATAGTGCTGTATTGTCAGAGGTGCTGTCTTTTGGATGACGCGTGAAACTTAAGATCCCCTCTGCCTGTTCAGGTTAAACGTTAAAGAACCCCTGACGCTATTTGAAAAGAGAAGGGAGATTCTTCTGGTGTCCTCACTAGCAAAAGAGCTAACTTGCTCATTCATTTTCTGGCAGTTTATGCCAAATAATGTATATTGATTGAGAGTGTGTAAATTACAACAATCAACTTGCATTTATATAGCACCCCTCACACAGGATAGCGTCCCGGAGCGCTTGACAGTGGCGGAGCATGATGCTGAACCGGGATGGGGGAGGGAGAAGTGGCTGTAGGCACAATTGAAGAAGAAGGTCTTCAAGTGCGAAGACGGGGAAGGGGCAAGGCGGAGGGATCGAGGAAGAGCGTTCCAGAGTTTTGGGGCGTAGTGGCTAAAAGCGCAGCCACCAATGGTGGAACGGATGCACAAGAGACATGTAGAAAGCCGAAACTAGTCAAGCGGAGGCAAAGGGTTGGGGGTAAGCAGGTCAGAGAGGTAGGGAGGTCCAAGTCATGAAGGAATTTGAAAATGAGTGTGAGAATCTTGAAATCGATCTGTTCGGCAATAGGGAGCTTTTCGAGAACTGGTGTGATGGGGGTCCGGAGTTTGGATTAATTACAAATATATAGTAAACCCCTGTCGCTATCTGGAGACCAAGTATCCAGAATTGGCAATTAACTGGAACAGGTCGGAAAAAAAATTCTGCGATTCAAAAGTCCACCCAGTGTTTTCGCATCAGTGGCAAGTACAGAACTATTGTTTTTTTTTTAAATGTTAGGGAGGATTTATGTTCTACTTATTTACTTATAGGTATTAGGATTAGCAGTTCGCCAGAACAATTCTGCTTGTCAGAGAGTGTAGTATACAATAACTGTACTTAACAGTAATTTCTGTGAAGAGCTTTGAGACATATCGATGTTATCAGACACTATATCAAATGCAAGGATTATTTTCAATTTTATAATTGGCCATTCAACCCCATGGTGTGACTTTGCCTGTTGGAGAGGTAGGAGGGAGCGAGGCCGTGAATGGCCTTGTAGGTGAGGATGAGGATCTTGAATCGATCCTCTGGGGGATGGGGAGCCAGTGGAGGCGAGCGAGGGTGGGAGTGATGTGGTCCCGAAGCCTGGTGCGGGACAGTACAGTACAGTATCAGTGGTGGAAGCAGAGAGAGCGAGTAACAATCAGTAAATTATTCACGGGAGTGAAGCGCACAGGGAGACATTAGGGCTGGAGGAGAGGGACAGAGGGAGGGATGAGCCATGAAGGGATTCAAAGGTCAGATTTAAAGCTTCAACTGTTTGCAATGACCTCTGCCACCTTCTCTGCCTTTGTATAAAAATCTTTTGTCTTCTAACAGAAACACCTCAAGACACCAGATATTGTCATCGGAGCAGACACTGTTGTGGTGAGCGAAACGAGTAGACTTTAATTCACCTCAGTTTTAGTTCTTTTCTCCGCTCAAATTATTTGTATGATTGCTGTATGCCTTCCTAGTATACTGTGTCATGTTTCTTGTCAGAAGTTGTAATACTGTGTATAGCTGGTTTAACCATCCAACTTTCTTTCTCTCTGTCTGACTGATTGACTGTCTACCTATCTAAGTATCTAACTGTCTATCCAACGCTCTGCCTAACTAACTAACAAACAAATTACATCTTCATCATCAACAACAACTTGCACTTATACAGTGCTTATAATTGAACAGGAAAGTAAGGACTGAACTAACTACAGATGGCCAAAAGTGCGTTCAAAGAAGTAGGCCTTTAGATGGACCTTGAAGGAGGTGTGGGAAGGGGCGAGTAGACAATGTAAGGAAACTTTGAATTTATTATTCGATTAATGATGAAATAATGCACGCAATTTGGATGTTAAACAATTCTTTCCTTTATTACCTGTTTATTTGCTTTGCCCCAAAATGGCTACTGGATTTACCCACAAAATACAATCTAATAGAATGGCGGAACAGGTTCGAGGGAGCCTCATGGAGCCTGAAAAGAATACCCTCCTTTTCGACCGAGCCTCCAGCCATCCTCCTGCCTCTCTGCCCTCCCTCATCCCAACCTGCACCCCCACCTGCCCCACACTTGGGTCCTGACCCCCTACTGTTCAGCGCCTTGGGATATCCTCCCGACCTAAAAGGTGCTTTACAAATAATAATGTAATAATAATAATCCTTGCATTTGTTATATAGTGCTTTATCACGTCGTCAAGACATCTCAAAGCCCTTCACAGAATATATTGTAAAGTGGATTGACTGTATATTTTGTGGCCGAAACTCGGCAGCCAATTGCGCACAGCAGCGTCCCACAAACAGTCGTTGATTGAGTGACCGAATTATTATTTGTATTGTGTATTGTGGTTTCAGTGCCTTGAGAGTTCAGATGGGGATTTAAGCCCAGAACCTCCCAATAGTGGTTGGTAAAAGGAACCAAGTGTGCCATGTATGGCGTGTCCAGTCTTAAAGATAATTTCAGTAATTTCTGCTCTGCTTCCAAGTCTCATCGGAATATCGTAGAAAACTGTCCCAGGCATGAATTAAATAAAACTGTTCTCCCTGTCTTTGTAAAAGCCCACAAAGAACAGATTCAGCAAATGGGCACCAATTGACAAGAGGAAGATCTGTCCAGTGTGGGTGTGACCTGAGAGGATGAGGCTGATCTCCGGCCTGGTTTGAAGGGCACGTTTTGCAGCTAACGTCTGGTGAGCTAACAGCACGTTAGCATCCGCGGGACTGCAGCTGTCCAGAGGTTTCTCCAGGTCCATCATGCAGCATCTCAGCTTCGATGTCATCGACCCCAGCCAAGCAGAACTGATCCCTGCGGTCCCCTGGGCTGGAGATGCTGACGTGTTCATTGTGCAGCGGCCGGATACCGAAGGACCGCAGCTGCTTGAACCAGTTGTTATACTAATCCTTGCATTTGATATAGCGCTTTTCACGTCTTCAAGATGTCCCAAAGCGCTTCACAGAATATACTGTAAAGTGAATTGACTGTATATTTGTGGGCGAACGTGGCAGCCAATTGCGCACAGCAATGTCCCACAAACAGTCATGGATTGAAAATGACCAATTTATTATTGTTTTTTGGAGGGATTATTATGTGTGGAGTAAGGAAACTTGCCCAAGGTTTCGCCCTCTGCCTGGAATTGAACCCAGGTGTTTCGCTTGCAAGGCGAGTGCTCTAACCACTGAGCTACAGGACTCCAGAGAACTCCATAATGTGACATGGCTGCTGGAATAGTCATGGTTACCTGTTACAAAGTATGTCCCCGCTCTGGGCTTCAGATCCCTCAGTGGCTCAGTGACTGTTTGCAGGTTGACTATCTGAGAGTCAGTCAGGTCACCAACAATCACAGTGATATCTGGGTTAGGCCATTAACCATCCTCACAACCATTTCCAGCTCGGTCTTTTCGACTGCAAGGCCCCACTGAATATCAGACAGGAAAATCAGACACCTTCAGGTTGTTGAAAGACCGGGTCAACTTGTGAATAGGGATTTCCTCCCATTCGATCAGGGGAGGCTGCAAAGCATTGAGCAGCCTGAAGACGGTGCAGCCCACAGTGAACATGAGGGCAAGGGAAAGTTTGGCAAGGTGTTGGTAATGTTGTTGTTGTTGAGGGGCTGAATGGCCTACTGCTGTTCCTATGTTCCTTTACCTGGAGTCCTGTAGCTCAGTGGTTAGAGCACTCGCTTTGCAAGTGAGAGACCTGAGTTCAATTCCAGGCAGAGGGCCAAACCTTGGGCAAGTTTCCTTACTCCACACAGAGCCTAATAATAATCCCTCCAAAACAAAACAATAATAAATTGGTCATTTTCAATCTACGACTGTTTGTGGGACATTGCTGTGCGCAATTGGCTGCCGCGTTCGCCCACAAATATACAGTCAATTCACTTTACAGTCTATTCTGTGAAGCGCTTTGGGACGTCCTCCCGACGTGAAAAGCGCTATATCAAATGCAAGGATTATTACCAGTCAAAAGCTCCATTTAGAACGTAAACTGCTGCCATCAGACACAATAGTATTAGTCACCACGTTTCAGAGAATAAAGTATTGATCGGTTACCCATCGCTAGGAGAGCAGCAGGCAGCTGGTAGTTGGTCAGAGCTGCATCTCACTGACACTCAATTATAACCCCAAAATTTGAATCAGATTTACCTACGCGTTAACGGCGTTCCTACCACAAAAGTGCTCCCGAGCTTCAGATAACAAGTGGGTGTAACACAGATTCGTGTTCCAGTTTGGTTCCTTGTACAATAACAGAATAACAAGTGATATGTAGTCACCAAATGTCCTTCAGTACTTTCACGCAGTTAACATTCTATTTTAACTCTTTCCTTATGAAAGGGGTTATAAGATGGAGTTCCAGAGGGTGAGGGCTGAAAGCCCAACCTGTTAATGATGTGTGTGTGCACCAGACGAATTTAAGTAATTAAATAAATCTTTCAGTAATTCTGTCTTAACGTCTTGATCAGCACTGAACAGTGGCAGAGTTGGACACTGAGGAAGGGAGAAGGGAGAGGAGGAGGTGACATTAGTGGTGTCGTACAGGTAGATCTTAGAGTGGGATTTCAAGTCTCTTTAAGAGGGCAGAAAAAAAGGCCTCACCTATCCATGTATCCTGATAGCAGTGCCCTACCAGCCCCGGCATCATCCTACTGAACCTACACTGTACTCTTAAGAACATAAGAAGTTGCTGAGTGAAAGAAGACCAAGGTCCATCTATTTCGCCTTCCACCATCCTGGCAGTCGCTTGACATAATAATAATAATAATCCTTGCATTTGATATAGCGCTTTTCACGTCGGGAGGACGTCCCAAAGCGCTTCACAGAACACACTGTAAAGTGAATTGACTGTATATTTGTGGGCGAACGCGGCAGCCAATTACGCACAGCAATGTCCCACAAACAGTAGATTGAAAATGCCCAATTTATGATTGTTTTTGGTTTTGGAGGGATTATTATTAGGCTCTGTGTGGAGTAAGGAAACTTGCCCAAGGTTTCGCCCTCTGCCTGGAATTGAACTCAGGTCTCTCACTTGCAAAGCGAGTGCTCTAACCACTGAGCTACAGGACTCCAAAATGACATGTCACATCCCAAATTATATCCTGAGATATTGTTCTTGAAACAAAGAACATTTTCTGCTTCCACCGTCTGTCTCCCTCGGGAGCTTGTTTCATAAGTTTCTATCGCTGTTATGTACTTTTCATAGTGTGGAAACCAGAATTGAACACAGTACTCAAAACCAAGCGTTTGCATGAATTCAGAATCACCTCCTCACTTTCTTACTCTAATCCCCTGTTTATGAAGCAAATTGGGAGAAAATGTAAAAAAATATAAAATATAAAAAGTTACAATTCCTCTGAATGGAAATCACTGTTCAGCAAAGGTTCTTTATGTGTTTTCTACCTTCATTCAAACACAGGAGAGCATCAGACCTCACAGGAAAAAACACTGATGCATAAACACAGAGTACGGGACCACAGACCTGCGGTGAAATTCTCAGTGTAAGTTACTTTCGCTTTTGCTGCCTCTGGGTCAGGAGTTATTGAGAGTAACTGCACTTTACACAATAACGTTTATATTTTTATTTTAAGATGCACAAAATACTTCATCTGGAAACAACTATATTAACTTTATTGGGTAAACTGCGGTAAACATGGCTCCTTCCTCTTGTCTTTATTGATCGTGTGTGAGAGAGCCAACCAGTAGAGAGCGAGTGGTTGGAGACCCTGCTCTAGGTGTCAACAAGGTGTGTGACACGAATAGAAACCCGTCAACATGTTTATCAGTATCCAAATCAGGCTGTGAGTTCCGCATATGTACGCCACTCACATTGAGAGATTTTCAGCACAGAGGAGACCGTTTGGCAAATCAAGTCCGCGCTGTAACCTCTGTGATGATCCTGTGCAGACGGTTCATTCCGTTCCAGCCGTTCCTCTGAGCCCAACAACGGGATCTTTAACATTCACCTGAACAGTCAGATGGGACTTCATTTAATTGTCAGCCAAAGGGATGTACATTCGATAATGCAGCACTGAATTGGTGCGTCAGCTGAGGATGTATAAATTCAACATCTCTAATGTGGGGCTATAACCCACAATCTTCTGACTTGAAAGCGAGAGTGCTCCCAACTGAGCCACGCTGGCACACACATTGTTTTCGTCTCTTTTCCAATAGCTTGATGCGATCTTTAACACCCAACTGAGATCGGAGAAAATAATAATAATAATCCTTGCATTTGATACAGTGCCGTATCACATCATTGAGACGTCTCAAAGCGCTTCACAGGATATACTGTAAAGTGAATTGACTGTATATTTTGTGGGCGAAACGCGACAGCCAATTGCGCACAGCAACACCCCACAAACCCCACGTGGCTTGAGTGACCACATTTTTTAAAAAATTTTTTTTGAAAGGATTATTACCCCTGGAAAAGCAACTTGAATTAATGAGGATGTGAAATCTTTTCCTCTGTGTGGCTGAGGTTTTTACTTCCTGTTACAATCAATTCTCTTGCAGCAATCTGAACAATCAGCTACAAGTAGAAAAGATTTTTATTGCACAATGATTTTGTAACATTGAGCGTTATTTCTCTCTCTTTCTCTTACTCTCTCTCTCACTCTCTCTCCACATATTTGTGTGTCTTTTCTTTATTTCTGTGCCAAGCAAGATTTTTTTGGGGTCAGCCAGGTGTCTGACACACACACACACACATTAACTGCTCAAGGCTCCGCGAGCCCATCAAACCCTCGCCCAGCTACACTGGCTCCCTATCCCCCAGCGGAACAATTTCAGGATCCTCGTCTTAATCTTTAACTCACTCCATGGACTTGTACCAATCTAACTTTGTGCCTTTATCACACCCGACCAACCTGTCCGCTCCCTCCGTCCAGTCGCACTCGGCTGCTTCATGTCCCCGCCCCACCTGCTCCGTCATCAGCAGTGGGATTTTCAGCAAATCTGCCCCCGCTCTCTGGAACTCCATCCAGGAGCCCCTTGGACTTGTCTTCTCCCGCCCCTCCTTCAAGGTCCACTTCAAGACCTTCCTCTTTCACCATGCTTTCAGCCATCATTTTCCCTCCTCCCAATACACTTGGCTCACCTCTTCCCCCACTTCACACTCCCCGGCCTCCATCCTCAACTCGGGGACCAACTCTGGTCTGTTCTCCTGATGTGAAAGGTGCTGCATAAATGTAAGTTTGTATTGTATTGTATTGTGAGCCATCATTATGTTTAAGAGGATCCAAAGACTGAGAGTTTCACATCTGTATTGTCAATTGCACACAGAAATTTCTCCGTATCTGGAATGGAATATGATCTCATACAAAGGAGGGTCTTGGCATTGAGCTCAAACGTGAGGAGGTTAGTGAGGGTGTTAGTGAGAAGGTTAGTGAGAAGTTTAGCCTACTGACCAAGCTAGTATTACAAATATCTGTTCCTCCTTTGTATGAGCTCATGTGGAGTCCTGTAGCTAGTGCTTAGAGCACTCGCTTTGCAAGTGAGAGACTTGGGTTCAATTCCAGGCAGAGGGCGAAAACTTGGACAAGTTTCCTTACTCCACACAGAGCCTAATAATAATCCCTCCAAAACAAAACCATAATAAATTGGTCATTTTCAATCCACACTGTTTGTGGGACATTGCTGTGCGCAATTGGCTGCCGCGTTTCGCCCACAAATATACAGTTAGTTCACTTTACAGCATATTCTGTGAAGCGCTTTGAGACGTTGAGAAGACGTGAATTGCGCTATATCAAATGCAAGGATTATTATTATTATGTGTAGCTCTGCCTCTGTGTGTGTCTCTCTCTCTTTCTACCTCTGTAATGGTGAGTGTTTGTATATGTGTGTCTCTGTGTCTCTGTCCCTCTCTCCCTCCCCCTAATCTGTATTTACCACACTTGCCCAGTTGGGTTCAGCTGTTAAACCTATGACCTGGATTCCTGGCTGAACACACCTTTGTTTGGGGAATATTGAACCTCTATTTCCCAATCACTGGGTGGGTTGGGGCCGAGGGTGGGGATTGCATTGGAGGCCGTACTTTGGGCCTCACGAAACAATCTCAACAACAACTTGCATTCATACAGTGCCCTTCACACTGGACAGCGACCTCAGGCTACCGAGTTGCACATTGAGTCACTTTAGTTTTCTTCAATAGGAGCTGTCGTGCACTCAGCCGCTATCCAGATCTGTTCCTTGTAACCGAGCCACTGCTGTTGGAGGAAGGAGGAGAGGGGAAGAGNAAAAAGATGACATGCATGTTTTATCAGGCTGACGTGACTTAAGTTGCTTTGTGGTTTAAGGCTTAAGGTCAGTGATTCAGAGCAGAATGGGAAAGAAGCATTTCTTCACATAGAGGAGACCACGGAAGGGAGGTTCCACAAGAAGCAGAGGGTGAGATCAAATGGAGCCACGGACCTTCTTCATAGAACCTCTCTTATGGCCGTCAGACAAGATGACTCTTTGGGGCATTTCAGTGAAATACATGCTCAGTGCACATGTGACTAGTGAGAGGATTAAACTCCGACAGTTACCCCAATACACACCCTCTGAATCCCAAAGCCTTGGCTCTCGCCAACCTGCACCTAATACGCTCCGGAATTAGATAAGCAGCAATCGTCTCTCTGGGGAGGAAGAGAGTGCGCGTTTCATTCCAATCCACGGAAATGTCCAGGTGAAGGTCGTCAAGAAGTTGGAGAGAGCTTCACAGCATTTTATTGTAAAGTGCCATCGCTGTGTATTTGTTGGCGACGACGGCAGCCAATATCACACAAACAGCTATGAAGTGAGTAATCAATTTTATTTGGAGAATGTTGGCCAGGACACCAAGAGAAACTCTCTTCTCTTTCCAAGGTCCTGGAACGAGTTGTGGCCTCCCAGCTGCGCTCTTTCCTCTCCACCCATTCATTATTCGAACCCCTTCAGTCGGGTTTCCGTGCTGCCCATAGCACAGAAACTGCCCTGGTCAAGGTCACCAATGACATCCTGACCATCTGTGACCAGGGCTCCCTCTGCCTCCTCGTCCTCCTCGACCTATTGGTAGCATTCGATACGGTCGACCACGATATCCTCCTCCACCGCTTGTCCTCCCACCTCAACCTTCAAGGCCCTGTCCTTGAATGGTTTAGGTCGTACCTTTCCCACCGTCTTCACTTTGTTTCCACGAATGGCTTCTCCTCCACCCCCCGCACTGTCTCGTGCGGTGTCCCTCAGGGCTCTGTCCTCGGTCCCCTCCTCTTCACCCTCTATATGCTCCCCCTGTGGTGACATCATCCGCAGACATGGGGTTAACTTCCACATGTATGCGGATGACACCCAACTCTACCTTTCCTCCTCTACCCTCAACTCCACGACCACCGATGTCCTGACAGCTGTCTGTCCGACATCGAGTCCTGGACGAGAGACAACTTTCTTCAGGTCAACGTGCGCAAAACTGAGGCCCTCCTGATTGGCTCATGTCAGCGCCTCCGCACCTCAGGTGCTGACAGCATCAGCATCCAAGGCCGCACTCTCCACCTCTCAAAGCCATCAGGAACCTTGGGGTTCTGTTCGACCCTGAGCTGTCCTTTCTCCCCCATATCCGCGCCCCAACCGGCACCGCCTTCCATCACCTCCGGAATGTCGCCAGACTACGGCACTACGTCACCCCTCACGCGGCTGAAACTCTGGTCCACACCTTCATCACCTCAAGGCTGGACTATGGAAACTCTCTCCTCGCCGACCTTCCCTCTCACGTCCCTCCACACTGCAGGTCATTCAGAACTCTGCAGCTCGTGTACTGTCCCACACCAGGCTTCGGGACCACATCACTCCCACCCTCGCTCGCCTCCACTGGCTCCCCATCCCCCAGAGGATCGAATTCAAGATCTTCATCCTCACCTACAAGGCCATTCACGGCCTCGCTCCCTCCCACCTCTCCGACCTACTATCTCCCTACTTACCTGCCCGTACCCTCCGTTCCTCTGGCTCCGGTCTGCTCCACATCCCCCGCCCCAACAGTCCTACCATCGGTGGCCGGGCCTTCAGCCTCTCAGCCCCGAGGCTCTGGAACTCTATCCTCCAGTGCCTTCGCCGCCTCCTCCCTTTCCTCCTTCAAGGCCGGTCTCAAGACCTTTCTCTTTGACCTTCAGCCTTCAGCTCCCCTCTCGACTCTCTTCCCCCTCCTCACTCCCTCCCTTCCCTCCCCTCACGCTGACCATTTCCCCCCTGCTCGGGTCTTGACCCAACTGTAAAGCGCCTTGGGACGTCCTCCCGACGTGAAAGGCGCTCTATAAATGGAATCTTGTTGTTGTTGTTTTCGAGAAGCTTCGCGGGATCTTTAAACTCCAACTGAACAACAACAAATTACATTGGTAAAGTGCCTTTCACGTCGGGAGGATGTCCCCAAGGCGTTGGACAGTCAGGGATTTGGATCCGAGCTGCAGGGTTGGATAAGGGCAGGGAGGGTGAGAATAGGAGGATTCTGACCATACAGCCCACCCCAAGCTCTGGCTTCGAGCATCAGCTCAAAGTCCAGAAATGGGGCTTGAAATGTAAAATATGAATGAGCAATTCAATCACGTAGTAACAGTTATTTGCGAACAAGAGTTTTGGATGGGGGGGAGATGGGTTCACAGAGCTCAGCGCAGGAGAGGACACGAGCTGCAGTTCTATCTCTGAATAATCTGAGGCTTGAGGAGGGAGAAGCTGGGACGCCCGGTGAGCAGGGAGTGAGTATTGCCAAGCCTGCATGTAATGAAAGCAACAGTAACAGTACCAATGCTGATTCACTATCCATGTTTAGCATTCTCAGTTCCCTGATTGTTATTTTCTGTTTCCTGTTCTGTGGTCTGACATTGCTGTGTGTGAACAACAAACTAATAGGTAAAGGCCACTCCCGCCTGTACCTCAGACACTGTGGGTTCAAACCCACAGATTGGAAGTTGACCTCATTATCTAGAATGTAGACTTGCTCACATCTGCCCCCTGAACCAGACCACCTTTCTTCATCTAAGTCACACTGCCCGTCTCACCCCAAACACTTCCAGCCCATGTGCACAGCTTCTCCAGCTCTCCGTGTCAGACCTTTGCTGCCTCCTCTGATTACACAGTTCCTCAGCCAACTTTGTGTGATCTGCAAATTTAGCGGGTGGGGTGTTGGGGATGGGAGGTCCTGGAACAGGCCAGTGTCTGCCAAGCGGAGGAAGAGGTTGGTAAAGTTTTAGGTCGCAGAGGGAGGGAGCATAGCAAGACTGTGGAGGGTTTAAAGGCGAAGACGACGATTGTGAACTCGATTCTCTGGGGATGGGGAACCATTCATCAGCAGTGTCCGGGAGTCCTGCGGATTTTCATTGGGAAGCACGTCACCTTGGAGTGTTCTCAATGGCAGGGAGACTCCAAGTTCTCGCCGCCAACACCCTCCATGCACACACACACACATACACATATTAATTTCGTGACAAACCCACCTGAAAGTCACCGTTGTATTTTCCAAACAACTCTGGGAACTTTCTCTGGGGATCGGGAACTGGTACGAGCATTTTCTTTATCACCCTGGGGCCAATTAAATGGTCAGAAAGGTCAATTAAAATCAACTTCATCTAAAAAAAACCCGAATGATCAACAAATTGGATCAACAGAACTTCTTTCCTCTTCTATGTCACCAGGTTGCAACAGATGATCAGATAAAGAAAGCTCTTCATCCGTTTGGAGCCCTCTGAGGTTGAGATGGATGTAAAGGGCACAACCTTGCCATCATTATACTGCAGCCCTGTTCTTCTCCACCCTCTGTTTGTGTGCTGGTCTCTCTCGGTAGTCTGGTTCCTGAGTCAGGTGGATCAGCAGTACTCCAGAGCACTGCTGAGGGCAGCACAGCCCAGCCGGGCTGATCAGCAGGACTTGGAAGGGCAGATCGGTCACTGGAGATAGAGATGGGGAAGGTGGTCGTAGCTGGATAAGCAGCGGGAAGCTTGCCAGAATGTGTTCTCAATGGCAATCTAAGCAGACTTATCTGGTTAATCTCCAGCAATTGCCCCATCCCTCCAATGCACTTACGCGCCACACATTGCATTAAATGTCAACCTAGACTGTATGGGACTTGAACCTGTAACTTTCTGATTCAGGCGAGAGCGCTACCCCTGAGCCAGCCTGACATTCATATCTACACTTAGACCCTGTTTACTTGCCTCCGCTTTATGTGTCACCCCACAATATCAAGACTATTTAAAAATGCAAGAAAATCACACAAGTATATATCAGAAAATTACCTTTTCAACAAACATATAATGACAAGCACACTCAGGTTTAGAACCACCACAAGTAATATGAGCATCGGGGAACTGGAAAAGCTTCCTGAGTGTTCTGCTTCTGAAAACACAGAGAATATTGCTGACACATCAAAAATATTCACAACTCGGCCAATGCTCATCTTAACCAACAGATAATATTCAAATAATATTAATCCTTGTGTTAGCTATACCGTCTTATCACATCATTGAGACACGAACAACTTGCATTTATACAGCGCCCTTCATATGGGTAGTGTCTGGAGCACTGAACAGTGGTGGAGCTTGACCATGAGCCAAGGAGGAGATGACTGTACACACAATCGAAGAGGAAGGTCCTTAATCTGAAGGAATGGTCCAGCAGAGCAATTGAGACAGAAAGTTCCATGATCTTGAGGGTAATGGCTGGAAGCACAGCCTCTGATGGTGGAGCAGAGGGAACGAGAGACATGCAGGAGGTCTCTCAAAGTGCTTCACAGGATTTAACTGTGAAGTGTAGTGACTGTGTGTTTATAGTGCGGAAATACTCCGTGTATCTGACACGTTGCTTGCTCAGTTCAGGGGCTGACTGTGTATACCTTCCCACTCGCTCCAAATCACCTGAGCCTGTGGGGTACCATTCAGCGCCTTGTGTCTGTTTCTCTCCACCCTCAACTCTCCTTTAAGCCTTTGGCCCTGACCGAGTGCTCCAGCCTTCACTCTCCAGATGTTTTCCAATGTTCAGCCCATTGGCCTCTACATCCTCCCCTTATTACAGGATTTACTGGAAAATGTTTTTTGTCTGTGTATTGTGTGGGCAGTCAGTTACACACAGCAATTTCCTACAAAAGTCACGGTATGAATGATTCTGTTTTATTGGGGGGAGTTGTAGGCCGGAACACCAGGAGAGAGAAACTTCCTTCTCTTTTCAAAGCCATGTCTCCATGGCTTGGCACTGTTCCCCATGTAATCATACAGATTACTCCTTTGGCTCCTTTCCACACTGCCCACCAGTTCTGACCCACCGTGTGCGAGTGAGCCTTCAGCCACTTAGCCTCTCTCTCTGGAACTCGCTCTCGAAATCCCTCTACCTCACACCTTCCCTCTCTGCTTTATCATCCCAAGGATCTAGGGAACGAGATAGTTATCCAAGAAGGAGTAAACTACAAGTATACAAAGGAAAAGGGAGGTAAATGGGTCTGAAAGGATTGTTCATTTCATACAGTTCCCTTGTCGTTTCTCCTTACCCCTTATCACAGGAACTTCCCAAGTATTTATCCAGCATTGCTCTGAGGTGGAAACTACAGTCAATTTGGGCCCAGGTGGAATTTCTAAACTCCTACATCTCATAGCCATGAGCCAAGCCAAGAAACCTATAAGATCATCAAAGGGCATAATAGAGTAGATAGTGGGAGATTGTTTCCCCGGTTGGAGAAACTAAAACCAGGGGTCACAACCTTAAAACTAGAGGCAGCCCTTTCACACTGAGTTGAGGAAGAACTTCTTCACTCAAAGGGCAGTGAATGTATGGAACTCACTACTCACTTAGGGAGTCCTGTAGCTCAGTGGTTAGAGCACTCGCTTTGCAAGTGAGAGACCTGAGTTCAATTCCAGGCAGAGGGTGAAACCTTGGGCAAGTTTCCTTACTCCACACAGAGCCTAATAATAATCCCTCCAAAACCAAAAACATAATAAATTGGTCATTTCAATCCACGACTGTTTGTGGGACATTGCTGTGCGCAATTGGCTGCCGCGTTCTCCCACAAATATACAGTCAATTCACTTTACAGTGTGTTCTGTGAAGCGCTTTGGGACGTCCTCCCGACGTGAAAAGCGCTATATCAAATGCAAGGATTATTACCCCAAAGGGCTGTTGACACTCAGTCCTTGAATATATTCAGGACTGAGATAGATTTCTTATTGCAAAAGGAATTAAGGGATATGGAGATAAGGCAGCGTCAGGTTATTAGCTGGAGTTAGATTAGAAGATCAGCCATGACTGAATGGTGGGGCAGAGGCTCGAAGGGCCGAATAGCCAACTCCTGCTCCAACATGTTATGTTATATGTGTTATGTGAACCTGATCTTGTACTGAGCAGTTGGATGTATTTTTAGTGTTATGTTTATTATAGCAGCAACAACAACACATTTGCATTGATACAGCGCCTTCATGTCGAGGAGATGTCCCAAGGCGCTGAAATTAAAGCTTCAACAACTCTTACCAATAAACACTTCATTGCTCCAGTCACTCCAGAATTGAGAGACACCACAAAACTTTAAGTTGAGGCTGACTTTCACTGAATAGCGCTTTGACGGGATGTAGACCAGAAGTTTGTAATCTGTTCTTTCGTTGACAGAAATATTCTAGAAAATGAATAAAGAGATAATGAGCAAGATAAAAATTAAAATTAAATCAACTGCCATCCGTACCAGGACTATCTACATCAATGATTTGAACTCAGACATAGGAGGTTTGGTATCGAAATTCACAGATTGGTTTGGGGGCTGAGTGGGGATAGTAAATAATGAGGATGGGCACAAAGAAAGAAACCAGCTCTAATCTGTGCACTTTCCTGATTGCTGTATCCACTTATTCCTGGTAACATCCTAATAAATCTACACTACTTTTTCCAGTGTTACTGTATCCTTGCTGTAATATGATGTTCTAATAATAATAATCCTTGCATTTGATATAGCGCTTTTCACGTCTTCTCGACATCTCAAAGCGCTTCACAGAATAGACTGTAAAGTGAATTGACTGTATATTTGTGGGCAAAACCCAGCAGCCAATTGCGCAGAGCAGCGTCCCACAAATAGTTATGGATTGAAGTGACCAATTTTTTTTCTTCAGGGATTATTATCAGGCGTGTGGAATAAGGAAACTTGCCCAAGGTTTCACCCTGCCAGGATTCGAATCCAGGTCTCTCGCTTGCCAGGCAGGTGCTCTGACCATTGAGCTACAGGACTCCACTTTAAATGAGGAAGTTGTTCTTTTCCCAGTGGCTAATTTATGGCAGTAATTTAAAAAGCAGCTCAATAGTCAGAGGACTATAAGACTAAATTAAATTTTAAAATTACATTTTATTTTAAAAAAGCGATTCACCAATTGACTAATAACTGTGGGCCTAATTATGACGAGGTAAACAGAGGTGTGTGGAGTAAGGAAACTTGCCCAAAGGCTCGCTCTGACCAGGAATCAAACCCAAGTCCTCTCGCTTGCGAGGCGAATGCTCTAACCATTGCGTTACAGGATTTCACAGCTGCCCCACTCAGCCCCAACCCCTGTGGAACGCCATTTCCTACATTTTGCCGGTCTGAGAAGCTGTCCTTCACTCCTACTCTTTGTTTTGTGTTCGTAGCCAACTTTTAATCCATTCTGCTGACTTTCCAAGACTCTATAAGCTTAATTCTAGACCCTTGTGACACCTGACCAAAGGCCCCTCTGCCCAAACACTTTATCCATGTTACCTTTTCAGCGTTGTTGGTCCAATCTTTGACATTCAGTAAATAAGCAAAGCATCTCGGGTTGGTAATTGAGGTATTGTCAGATATGTCCCACTTCACAGTGTGATTCACGACTTGAACGTTTACAGGTGGGTTGAACTTCTCTGAGAATGAAGAATACAAAGAGCAATGCTATGTGAGTGGGAATGCTCAGGGCAGATCAGAGCAGAACACAGAGAGAACAAATACAGTATAATATAATACTCCTTACAGTTGGATAGACTGTACAGTTTGTTGGCAAATTTACAGCCAATAAGCGCATGCAAAGTCCCACAAACAGCCATGAGGTGAATAACCAATTTTATTTTGGGGATTGAAGGCCAGGGAGAAACTCCCTTTTCTTTTCAGATAGCGCTGCAGGACCTTTAGCATCACCTGAACAGGCAGAATGGGTGTTGGTTTAATGTCTCATCCGAAGAATGGCACATCTGACAAGCGCTCTGGGGCTCTACCCTGTGTGAGGGGCACTACATAAATGCAGGTGGTTGTTGATGACAATACACCCACTACCACTGTGTTTGATGTCAGCCCAGACGGTGAATACAGAGTCCGGACATGGGGCTTGAACCCACAACCTTCTGCCTCAGAGGTGAAGGTGCTACCGATTGAGCCAGGCTGCACTTATCTGGGTAATTGTTAAATCATCTCAAAGCCCTTCACAGGATTATTAGCCGAGACACTGAGGAGAAACTCTCTTTTATTTTTGAGTAGCGCAGCGGGATCATTAACTTCCACCTTGAACAGACAGATGGGACCTCGGTTTAATGCCTCATCTGAAGGATGGCACTTCTGACAACAACAACAACAACAACAAGATTCCATTTATAAAGCGCCTTTCACGTCAGGAGGACGTCCCAAGGCGCTGCATAGTTGGGTCATGACCCGAGCAGGGGGAAAATGGTCAGGGTGAGGGGAGGGAAGGGAGGGAGCGAGGAGGGGGAAATGGTCAGGGTGAGGGGAGGGATGGGAGGGAGCGAGGAGGGGTAGAGAGTCGAGAGGGGAGCTGAAGGCTTGGTCAAAGAGAAAGGTTTTGAGACCGGCCTTGAAGGAGGAGAGGGAGGAAGCGGCGAAGGCACTGGGGGATAGAATTCCAGAGCCTCGGGGCTGAGAGGCTGAAGGCCCGACCACCGATGGTAGGGCGGTTGGGGCGGGGGACGTGGAGCAGACCGGAGCCGGAGGAATGGAGGGTATGGGCAGGTAGGTAGGGGATAGTAGGTTGGAGAGGTAGGAGGGAGCGAGGCCGTGAATGGCCTTGTAGGTGAGGATGAGGATCTTGAAATCAATCCTCTGGGGGATGGGGAGCCAGTGGAGGCGAGCGAGGGTGGGAGTGATGTGGTCGCGGTGTCTGGTGCGGGACAGTACACGAGCTGCAGAGTTCTGAATGACCTGCAGTGTGGAGGGAGGTGGCGGGAAGGCCGGCGAGGAGAGAGTTCCCATAGTCCAGCCTTGAGGTGATAAAGGCATGGACCAGGGTTTCAGCAGCGTGAGGGGTGAGGTAATGCCGTTGTCTGGTGATGTTCCGGAGCAACACAGAGCAAACCCCACCCTCTGCCAGGGACTGCAATAGAATGTTATCCTTGACTATATATGTGTTCACAGTCTACACCTGGGAACTGAGGGGCAGAAAACAAATAAAGGAAACCCGTTTCATACCAAATGAACTTGGTTGAAAAATTCTGTAAATTGGGTAAATCTCAGCTTGTTGACTTGATCCGTTGACAAGTAGAATTACAATTACTTCAGTATCAATCCCATTGACAATGTGGCAGCCGATATGCCTTCCTCTATCATCCTTAAGGTAATCGGTGCAAATCCTGGTATCATCATCCTGTCTTGAAACATGTATTTGTGACATTAATACAGAGATCACACACCAGGGCAGAACCACAACACAGATGGCTTACCTCCAGATTTATGTATGCAGAATGCATCCCTCTAGGGAGACTGCACATTTAGTTCCAATACATAGGAATTTCCATGTGTCGGTGGGATTCATGGAACTCCCAGTTTGGTTTGGATACTCTTAAGCATGGTGATGGGTTTCCACCTTTGTCTGGGACCCAGCTGACCCCCAAAAATTGTTCAGCCATATGGAAACCCATCGCTGTGATTGCTGTGCTAAAGAGTATTCAAACCTGACATGCCTGATAATAATCCCAAAAGAATTTTTTTTTTAGAAAATAATTTGGTCACCCAATCCACGACCCTGCTGTGCGCCCTTCACTTCGGGCGACACTGCTGTGCGCAATAGGCTGCAGCGTTTCGCCCACAAATATACAATCAATTCACTTTACATTACAGTTCCACATCCATATGAATGCAATCCATCTACACATGGATATTACGCTGTGTCTGAAACGGGCACTCTCTCCCTGGAGCATGCACCCTGCTTACCTAATCCTGAAGACTTTTATATGTAGATTGGTGAGAATAGAGGATTTTTCTGTCTGACTGTTCCAGGAGCTTACCTGTAGTGTAGAAAGTACACAATGTCTTCTGGGGCCTTAGTTCCAATTTGCCAGGAACAGTTCATGTATGTATTATTATACACAATGCATGAAATGTTGGCAGCCGCTGTTTCTGGATCTCCTGCAACGATTCCAATAAAATATATATTTAATTCATAAAATTAGACTGAGTTGATACATTCATCCTCACTTGGATCCAAGAATTTTTCTTATGGTCAGCCAGGTGTCTGACACACACAGACACCAGTCACCATGTTTAAGAGTATCCAAACCAAACTGAGAGTCCCATGTAATGCCGCTTTCACATGGAAATTCCTGTGTATTGGAATGGAATGTGCATTCTCTCCCCCGAGGAATGCATCCTACATGCCTAATTCCAGAGAATATTGGGGTGCAGATTGGCAAGAGGCAAGGATTCGAGTGAGTGTGTGTGTATGGGTTAGGTGGGGTGGGAGTATCTGCTGGAGTTTAATTGCTGCTTGTCCAGCTAAGACTACCCTGACAGTTTGGCTTTGGTTTTCAGGTTTAACAGGAGGTGAGTGGGAAGAATCCCTGCTCGCCAGTAACCCTGGAATTCCTCAAGACCAGACCATCGTGGGAGCTTTGTGAAAAAAGCCTTAAATTCAGTAGCCTGCGTTCAACTCAACTGTCACCCACCGACACCCATGCAAATTCCTTGCATTGCCTCAATCCCTCCGTCTTGCCTCCCTCTTTGCCCGTCTTCAAATCGCACCTGAAGACTTTCTTCTTCGACTGTGCCGTGGATCACCTCCTCTCCCTTTCCTGTTGTTAAGCGCCTTGGAATGTCCCCACAATGGGAAAGGTGTTATACAAATGTAATGTGTTGCTGTTGTGAAATCAGCTGTACCTATACACCTACACATAGCTTTATAACTGCAAATTTATTGATTTTTGTACGTAGAATTATCAAATTATAGAATTATACAGCAACAGAAAGAGGCCATTCAGCCCATCTTTGTATCTTTGAAAAGAGCTATTCAAATCAATTCCACTCCCCTGCTCTTTCCCCATAGCCTTGCAAGCTTATCCTCCCCAAATAATTATCTACTTCTCTCTGTAATGTTCCTATCGAATTGGCTTCCACTACCCTTTCAGGCATCTCAAGACTTTCCCATGCCTTTGACCATACCTTCGATCACCTGCCCTCCCTATCCAGCTTCGTGTGTGAATCCACTCCACTGTTAAGCTCTCCGAGTTGCTACTCACATGAAGGGCACCATATAAAGGTATGTTGTCACTATATTAACACTTAACAAGTTGCCAACACAAGCAGCCTCCCC